CAGTTTTTTATTCCCTTAACCAAAAATATATCTCTCGATTCATGTGATTATTATTTGTTTGGTAAGCATCGTAGAGTTTCTTTTCATAAGAGTTCTTAGAGAAAAAAAATATATTATAATTGATTTATTCTGACGTATGTGATCTCATTAATGTTGAGTTATTAGGTGGTAGCAAGTATTTTATTACTTTTATTGATAATGCTTCACGTAGGACTTGAATGTTTATGTTAGAAAATAAAAGTTAGGTATTGTAATATTTTTAAAAATTTCATGTCATAGTGAAAAAATGACAGAGCTACCCTTAAAGTGTATTCAAACTGATAATGGTGAGAAATACACATCCAAAGACTTTGAAGAGTACTGTTTAAAGCATGGGATTGGGCATGAAATGATAGAACCTGAAATATCGTAGCATAATGGTGTAGCTGAAAAGATGAATCACACCATTATGAAAAAAATTAGATGTATGTTAAGGATGAAAAAATTACTAAAGCCATTTTAGGGTGAAGCAGTCAACACAGCTTGTTATTTGCTTAATAAATCATCATTAGTTCCTTTAGGCCTTGATATTCTAGAAAGAGTGTGGATAGAAAAAGATGTTTCATACTCTCACTTAAAAGGTTCGGGTGTAAAACATTCATGCATGTACCAAAAAAGTAAAAGTCAAAGCTTGACAATAAAGTTACACAGTGTATTTGTAAGATATAATGATGAAGAATTGGCTATAAGATATGAGATCCAATGAAAAGAAAAACAGTCAATAGTAGAGATGTAGTCTTTCATGAAAAAAATCATAGCAAACCTTGAAAAAAAAATTACACAGGTTACTGTTGAATGTAATGTTTTAACACCGACAGGGGTTCCACAAAAAAGAGCCACAGATGGTGAAAATGAGTAAGAAACAGAACTTAGAGATATGAATAAGCCAATAACAGTTAGTGATGAGCTAAATGCAATCAGTTTTAATAGGAGAAACAATCTTCTTTACCTAAAAGTGTTAAGTAAGATGAATTACTTTCAACATTAGGTGACGTAGAGTTTTAGCCAAAAAAATCTATCAGAGAGCACATGCCATTTACTTGGTATCCAAGTTCAGATCTTATTTTAGTTACCAATGAGGGAGAGTCAAAGAGCTTCCAAAATGTGTAAACTACTCTAGATAAAAAAAGCACTGGTTAAAAGCAATGAAAGAAAAGATAGAGTCATTACGAAAAAATAAAATATATGATCTTATTATACTTTCAAAAAGAAGGAGGTCGTTGAAAAATAAATGAATGTTTAAGTTGAAAAATGATGGTGATAAGCTAGTGAGGTACAAAGCTCGATTGATGGTGAAAGGTTTTTCTCATAAATCAGGCATCGATTTTGATGAGATCTTCTATTCAGTAGTGATGATGAGTTTCATTCGAGTGGTATCAGGATTAGCAGCTAGTTTGAATCTTAAGCTTGAGCAACTTGATGTCAAGACTACATTCTTGCATGGTGACTTGTATGAGGATATTTATATGAATAAACCTGAATGTTTTGAAGTAAAAAGAAATAGCATTTACTTTGCAAATTAAAAAAAAGCTAGCATGGCTTGAAATAAACTCCACAACAGTGGTGTAAAAATTTTGATTCTTTTATGGTGAGCCACAACTATAAAAGAATGACAGTAAATCCTTGTGTGTATGTCAAAAAAATTTTAATTATAACTTTATTATTCTCTTATTATATGTTAATTGTAAGACAAGATGCTGGTATGATTTGTATGTTGAAAAAATAATTATATAAGTCTTTTGACATGAAGGATTTAGGTCCAACAAAGTAAATTCTCGGTATGAACATTATCCTAGATAAAAAAAAAAAAGCTATGATTGTCACAGAAAAAATATATTGAACGGGTGCTTAGTAGATTTAACATACAATATGCTAAATCAATTAGTAGTCCACTTACCAACCATTTTTATTTGAATAAAAAATCTTGTCCGATGACTAAGAAAGAGCAATTAGCTATGTCTAGTATTTCTTATTCTTCTACATCAATTTTTTGATGTATTTTATAATTTGCACATGGTCTGACATTGCTCATGCTATTGGTATAGTGAGCAAATTTTTTTTAATCCAGGAAAAGGTTCACTAGAAAGTAGTGAAATAGATTTTTAGATATTGAAAGGGCACTTCAAAAATGTGCTTGAGTTATAAAATTTCACAACCAGTTCTAAAAGAATTTACTGATGCTGACATGACAGGTGATCTTGATAGTAGAAAATCTACTTTAGGGTATTTATTCACTTTTACAGAAAGAACTATATCTTGACAGTCAAAATTGTAAAAGTGTATTACTTTATCAATTACAGAGGCTAAGTATATTACAGCAATCGAAGTATGTAAAGAAATATTTTGGATGAAACGTTTTCTTCTTGAATTAAGGTTGAATCAAAAAGAGTATATGATATTTTGTGATAGCTAGAGTGTTTTAGATTTGAGTAAAAATGTCATGTATCATGCAAGAACAAAGCACATTAGGTTAGATATCACTGATCACATTCAATGATTGAAGAACAGTAGATGCTATTGAAGAAAGTTCATACTGATTAAAATATAGCAAATATGTTGACTAAGATACCTCCCAAAGAGAAGCTTAAGTTTTATAGTAACTTGATCGGAATGAATTTTTTTGTCAAAGTAAGTTCCAAATGAAACTGTTATAATGATAAATCTTCCCCTAATGGGGCTTAAGGGGGATATTATTAGAAAAATAAGATCCAGCTCCATGTAATTGGGTTTGAACCAATCAAAGGTCATGAGCATTGATCTTTCTTTTTACACAAAATCCTAGCTACTTAATAAAAGAAAATGGCGCTGCAATCCAAGAAAAGAAAGAAGAAAAAAAAGAAGCCAAAAAAAAAGAGAGAAAAAAAAGAAAAAAAGTTGGTTGAACGAAATTGATCTGTGATCAGATTGAGATAAAATTTTATCAGCAAGTTTATGATTCAAAGTTCTATATTCTGAACTATGAAGATCGGGTTTAAAGCTCTCTAGGAACAAATTTATGGTGTATTTGTTAAGTCATCTATTTGGTGAGATTTCTTCAATTATCTTTCTAATTATTGATTAGCTCTAGTTTAACTAGAGAAAAACTTTGTATATCAATTATTTAATAATAGAGATATTTTTTTGGTGATTCGTGATTTTTTTCTCTACACTAAAGAGTTTTTTATGTAAATTTTGATGTGTTTTATTTTTTCTATGTTTTTATTGTTGATCGTTATCCATTACTATGAGTTTATTACGATATATTACTTTTACATTATTGTATTTATTACTTCAGACCTAACATAAATATTCTTATATATACTAAAAAAGTTGTGTTTATATTTAAAATTTTCATATTTTTAATAATTTATATAGTATTATTTCAATTATTTGTATAATATTTTATACCGTGTCTTATAAAACACGAATATTTAAATTATTAAATTCATATATACGAAATAATAAAAAGAGATATAATAAAGTATTAAGTGCGTGAAAGGCATTGAAAGCAAAAACCCAAACTCTTGTGACTATAATAAATCAATTAAAGAGAAAGGAAAAAGAAGCAATGGATCAGATCAGAATCAGATGAATCATCAATCAAAACAAAATCCAATTTCAACTTGTGTGTTTTCCTTTCTCTTTCCAGCTAACAACATAAACAAAAAAAACAAACGGGGTCCAGCCCATGATAACATGTATGCCCTTTCTTGAAAGATCCATTAATGAACGGAATGAAAGCAAATTTGACCATATCTACTTTCAGTGACTTGAAATTTCAGCAATCACAGCCAGTTCTGACCGTTGGCTTTGGTTAAATTAGGTTTTGTCGAGTGAACCTTAAAAAGACAACAAATTTCATTACACTTACTAGATCTTTTGTCTAATTTGGTTTGGTCAAAGATGCTTTTGTCAATTGCTTTTTCCCCCCATATTTTTGGAATAGGGATTTTCCAACTTTTTTCCTTGTTTCTTCAGATTGGTTTTTCCTGTTTATTGAGCAGTTCAAGGACTCTAATTTAGAACATGAACTTTAAGAAATGGGGTCCAATTTGGTTCCTCCCCATGGTAGTTGAGCAGCACTTAACATAAGCAACAACCAGTGCATGAAATTTCGACATTCACAGTCCCTTCTCTCATGTTAAACCCTTTTATGTACCAAGAAGAATTAAATAATGCAATAATTATTAGTAGTTAAAAATGATTTTTTTTTTTTTTCCTTTACCATGCGCCCATAGAGATTTAGATTAGGTTTGGATTCTACCATTCTTCCAAAACAGTGGGTTTAAGTTCTTCACACGACTAATTAAATTAAAATATCAAATATTAATTTCCATAAAATTTATTTAATTTAAAATTTTCATTCAATTTTTATTTTAATCACAACTACAATAATTTTAGTTTTTAATTACAATTATAATAAATTTTATTATTATTTTCAATTTTATGAAACCAATCTCACCAGTTAACTATGAAACCAAAACCATAAGCCAAAATTAAGTAGAAACAAAGTAGGAAACTGTCCGGAATGTTGGCTTGACCAAAGCCAAAAAAGCCAAAGTATTAGATTTAATTAAGGCTGTCATTTTTTGTCGTAAGAAGAAAACAAAACACATAGGCATGTGATGTGAGGGTGCTGGTATCCAAGATCAAATAAAGCAAAGCACATGAAACCCATAGGTAAAGCGCACGCTTAATAAATTCAATGAAGTCCCACCCCCCCAACCACTCTTTTCTTTAAAATAATTTTCTTTTAAGCCATTGCCACGAGCAGACAAAATTCCCTAAGACTCTTCTTTCATTCATCCCCACAGACTCTGCACTCTGTGGAGACTAGAGGAAAAAAAAGATTAAAAATTTGAACAGCAAATAATTCATTTGCATCAATAATGATTCAAAAGGTTAGAAGAAAACAAATGAAAGAACGAACTAGTAAGAAACTTCACTATTTGAAGGCTCATGTTTGAATTGCTTTATACATCGTTGATGATTGTTGAACATAAATATTATAGAGAATCTCAAGAAGAAGATGAAAAACCCCAGAAAAACTCTCTAAAAAGAGTCAGTAAAAGTCAACTTCTCTGAATAAGATTAGCCCAAACCTCACTAAAATTGAGAAGGAAGAAAAAAAATTTTAAAAACATACCTGACATTTTCAATCTTTCAATTTTAGCTCAGTAATCTTCAACAAAATGTTAAATCAAGATTCAATCTTTCAATAATCAGGCATAAGCTGAGTAATCTTCCCTTCTTCGGCTGCCATCTTTTCCTCTGTGATCTTCAGCCAAATACAAACTCCAGTAAAACTAAGCACCAAACTAGTAAGTCCACTTCCCAATCCGATTCCAACAATAGTCAAAACAGACAACCCTTTGCTTTTCATAGGTGGTAAAGGGTATCCATAAAGATCCTTATTTCCTTCAAAAGAAGTAGCATTGAACCTTGGCAAATTCCCACTTCTGTTCCCCAAAGAAGATGGTATTGGCCCTGAAAGCTTGTTGTAAGAAACATCAAAAGCTGACAGCCGTGCAAGAAGGCCTAATTGTTGAGGAATCTGACCAGTAAGTAAATTGTCATGAAGATCAATGACGTTTAAATAGGCACATAACGTAAGCTGTGGAGGGATCTCTCCTTCAAGACGGTTTGATGAAAGATTCAATACTGCCAGGTTGACTAAATATTGTATATCTTGTGGGATGGATCCTGAGATGGAGTTTGAAGACAAGTCAAGTGACTGAAGATTGGAACAGTTTGAGAGAAAAGGTGAGATAGAGCCTTGGAGAGAGAGGTTTGTAAGGGAAAGTTTGTAGATTCGACCATTGTTACAAGTGGCACCAGGGAGATACGAAGTGAAACCGCTACAAGGGTTTGAAAAGGTGGATTTGGTCCAGTTTTGCAGGTTCTTTAATGGGTCTTTCAAAGATTGGCTTAAGTTAGTTAAACAAGCCTCGTCGTTCGGATCTGATGAAGCCAATGGAAATGCGGCGCACGTTAGCAGCAAGAGAATTAGCAGACCCATGAAACAAAAAAAAAAAAAAAGGAAAAAGAGGTCTTTGGTTTAATAAAAACTTGGCCTTGAGCTTAAAGCTTTTTTCTTTGATTCTTGGATGTTTTGGTCATGTAGTAAAAAGACAGAAGAAAAAACCAAGAGGTTTCTTCTTTGCCCTTCTGTTCTGTTTCAGTTATGGTTATGAAGGGGAAATGTAAAGAGTAAAAAGACAGGCCTTTTAAAGGTTTTTTCTTCATCAACGAACAAAACAATACGTGAGAGAGTAGCTCTGTCGTATAAAATTACTGTTCTTCTGTTGTTTTTATAGGCGCACCTTAGCAAAGAAAAAGGAAAGAGAGATAAAGTGGGAGACAATGGGGTGGTCTTGAAGAGGGGGTTCGGTGAAAACCAAAGAACCAAAGCGAGAGAAAGAGAGAGGGGTGGGGTGGGACTGAGAGCTGCACAACTGAAGCCTAAGGATGGCGACAAGACGTTTTAGGGAGGCGAAGAGCAGAAGGGACTAGAGAAGCAGCCAATTGCTGTAGTGTTGTCGTTGAGAGATTGATTGACACGTTCTAGGAACGGTGAAGGAGGCAAAGGATTGATTGTTTGCCAAAGATTTCTCCAGCATTTCCGTCATAAAACAATGATGTAATTAGTGACTTATATTCCCTCATTAATGCTTGTTCTCTCTTCTTTAATAGATTAATATATTTGATAATTAATATATGTATTATTTTTATATAAAAATTATGTATTATATAATTTTTATATAAAATTTTATTATTTAATCATAAAAAATTTTTATTTGTTAAAAATATCTGTCACTTAAATAAATTTAATTATCAAATAATTTTTTAATAAATAAAATTTCACTAAAATTTAAATTAATTTTCTATTAAAATTTGAGTTAAATATCTAATATCAAATTATTCAAATTAAAAAAAATGACTCATCAGTTTTGAAATAATTTCTTCAAAAAAAAAAATCAACTCCTATACAAAATACAATAAGCATTTCAATTAATTTTACTTCAATAGGATGATGAGATATATGTTACTAACTAAGAGTAAGCATTTCAATTAATTTTACTTCATGGGATGATGAGACTGATATGTTAATAACTAAGAGTTAATTTAGATAAATAATAAAATTAATTTTGATAAAATTAAAATTATTATAATTATAATTAAAAATTATAAAAAATTTTATTAAATAAATTTTATTAAAATTAATATTTAAATATAATTAATGATATAATAAATTTAACTGCACCATATTAAAAGTACTATAAAATTTAAATTCCCACTAATTACAAAATAATCATAACCAAATAAGCATAGAAAGATGTTGAACTTGAATCGAATGTCTAAGTTTGGAAAAAAAAACACTAATTGTCGTAGCTTCGAATTTAAAAAAAACCGATATTTTTGGGAAAAAAAAATGTAGATAACAACGTGAATTGACATCACCTAGCTTGTGGCTATGATTGATTCACTAATGAAAGCAGCGGAAAATGTTGTCCGGCCTTTGAGTACTCTAAAACCCATTGAGCTGTGACCGACTGTTCTCACGTTCCTCATGCACTTTTTTGTTTTTTTCTCCGGCCTTCGGGATCTTGAAGCTAAAGAAAGCCAAGATTCGTTGTCAAAGCCCGAGCTTTTTTTATTTTTATTTTTGCAAACACTTAATTATTGCTTTGGCATGCCTAATTGATGAGATCAAACCAAACAAAACGCATGTTTGAGAAGGGAAATCATTTCCTTGTTGTAATCATCCTCATGTGAGGATTACATTTGCCAAACTTGATAACATTGAAAAGGGAAAGGAGAAGAAAATTGAAGAAATTTTTTTAATAAAATTATTATAAATTGAGAATAAAAAATACTATAAATATTGAAATTTAAATATTAAATTTATTGATTTAATTGGATTAAATTTTAAATTAAATTATATAAAAAAATGTTTCTAGTGTTTATCTGTTATTGATTACTTCGCTAATCAATCTTTTTGAGCTCATACAGTGAAAACTGGAGACTCTTTGGTTGACACAAAGCTCAATCTACAAGAAAACTTTTTAGCAAAAATTTGTGTGTGCAAATGCTTGAAGCAAGAGGAAGCAACGGCTGAAGGAACAAACCCGAGGAAGCACAGACGCGAAACTAAAGGCGTCACGCAAGAATTTCATGGCATGGTTTGAAGAAAACCAGTTTAGCCAACCATAGTAAAATAAAGCATGAGCCTCATTTTCCTGCATTGTATACAGGGGCGCAGCTAGGGAAGGCATAGCCATGGTTCCTCCAAAAAAATTTTAACACTTTTATATTTATAGTACTTTTTCTTATAAAATTTATTATTTGAATTTTTTCTCCCATTAAATTTATTATTTGGATCTCTTTCTTTCTATGCCTGACTTTACTTCTGATTGTATAAAAACTTGTGACATGAAATTTAAACTAAAATATAAAATAATAATAAGACCAAAATTTATCACTTTAGATCAAATTCATCACTTATTTTTGAACGAATGCAAATTTATTATCATACTTTTTAATTTGTTTAAAAAATTAATGATGAAAAATATTTTGTGAAAAAATAACATAATATTTTATTTTTAATTATTTTTAATCAATTGTACAATAATAAAATTATAATCATTTAATAATCAATAAATGATTTGCTCAATTCATAAATAATCATTTTTCTAACATAAATGTCTAAGGTTCGAATCTAATTGATAATCATTTGTTAAAGTCATTTATATATTTGTTTTGACTTTATAAATTAAATAATTTATCATAGATTAAAAAAAAAGAGTTTGTTTTAAGAAATAAATTGAATTTATCATCCTATAGTTAAATTTGAATCTATATATTAACTTGCTAACCAAACCAATCTTCCTAACCAATAGTTTTTGCTCTAATTGATTAGGTTATTATTATTATTATTATTATAAAAATACAAGAGAAAACAGAAGTCAACGTTGGGAATTGAACTTGAGTCACCAACATGATGAACAGATTACTTACCATTATATTACAACTATATTCAACAATAATATTTATCACCAAAAAATAACCTATTAAATTTACCATATTTTTGGATCATTAAAGCTACCATTTATTCCCTTTATTTTACTCCTTTCTACCATACATCATTGTCCTTAAAGTCTCAATGGCGCCCCCCCCCAACCATTAAAAGGGACCAAACAAGTAAAGAACAGAAATTAGTTCTACACTGTTGATCTATTATATCTAACTTTTTTAGTTAAATGTCAACCAACGATGCTCTACTCAAAACATTGATGTACTTTGTCTACGGTTTGTCTTAAAAGAATTGAAATACTTCACCAAATTTTGGGTTAGAGGAATTTATGCTTTATGGATTTAAGCTCTACAATTTAGTTGGGCTTCAATTTTCGCCAATGTGATGGATTGTCCCCTAAACCAGGGGTTTCTTGGCTGCCATGGAAGCCAGACGGGACCCAAGTGAATGCCTACAAACCAACACACTGTTCGGGGTTCTATTGATATATGAAATCGATTGATATTTGGATAAATTAATATATTATTAAAATTAGTATTTAAAAAATATAAATTTTAAAAGATTTATATATGTAATATTTTTTTAATCAAAGTAAATATTAGGATAGGAAAATCCCGAAATGAATTAAAAATTAAAAAAATTATATATGAACATTATCCTTTTGTACTTGGGACAATGCATTATTTGGTAGGTAAGCACCATGGGTTAAAAAATGCTGTCAGCTTCCAGCTAGGTTCTATTAAACTAATACTGATTAAAAAGTTAGTGGCCGACTTGCCAATATAATAATGCTTCTAAATCTTATTAAAAATAAATCGTTACATGTGTTCGAGTAACTGTAAAAAAAAAAGTAAAATACATAAACAGGTAAAGGTTACCAACTAAGTTATCCAATAGAAAATTTTAATGTTTGTATAAAGAAAAAACATCATATATTTATTTTATTGAAATATTTAATAAATTTGGGATACCGTGTCGTAATTGCAATTTTATTAAACAAAAGAGAAAAAGTGAAGCGAACGAAAAAATAATACTCTAAACTGGTAATTATAGACTAAACAATGTAAATTGGTTTTCTGACATGATTTTTGTGGGAAATATTTCGATAATAAAAATCTAAATATATTAGATCAATGTAATGAAATGTAGTTTAAAAAAATAAAAATTTGGATGAAACAAAGTTCTAGAGATATTTATAATCGGATTGAATTTGAATCAAATTCGAATTGAATTCATACGTGATATTAACAATTTACTTTTTAAGTTTAATTTGACTTGATATTTTGAGTCTTAAATTTTTTTTAAACTTTACTTAAATTTAAAAAAAAATCCAAACTCATATATTAAATTTAATTTATATAATAAAAAATTAAAAAATATGATTAAGTTAAATTTAACGAAATTATATTCAATTCGTTTATATATAAAAATTAAAAAAAATTAAGTTTAATAAAATATATGTAATTTTTATTTTTAATTTTTATATATATGTAAATTAATTTTTATATAATTTATATATATAATTTATATTATATGAATTTGGATCTGACCGAAATCAAGTTTTAATTCTTTTATTTTAGATTTGACTTGAAATTTAAATAAAATTAAAAATTACATCCAAACTTATTTAATAAATTTTAATTTTTTATTTAAACTATCTCAAAATTTAAACAACCTTCACGCACGTATCACAAAATAAAAATGTTAGTGTCATCCGATAAATGTTTGTGTTGTTGGTGTCAACTTCGCCTCTTTGGGAAGCCCAACCGTGATACAATGGGCCCCCAAGACCACAATACACCTGCTTTTTAACATAGCATTAGTGGGACGACTCATGTTCAGGTTGATTGCAAGCGTTCAATATCAGCACCCTCTTTGAATTGGACTTTGTTGGGATTATACCGGACAAACGATTTCTTTCAAGTGAAGCCGTTAATATTGACCAACTCAAAAGGGTTGTCCGCTCATGCGAACTTGATTTAATTCAATTTAATTAAAAAAAAATCAATGCCTCCGTAGATTTTGAAATTAAAATCATTCAAATTCAAATTAATTTGATTTTTAAATAATTTTTAAAATAATCCAAGCTCGATGACTTGAATTAAATAATTCAAATGTCAAATTTCGAATGATTCAAATAAAAAAAAATTTAACTCGAAGTGATCGACCAAACTTAACATGATCATGTTATTGACAACCCATTTTTGGGTTTGTTTAAGATAGTGATTTGCAAATCAATCTGAGACAAAAACCAAACCTTTTCTTTGTGCTTAATAAAGAATAAAAGAATAAATGTCTAAAAAGGCCTAACACCAGCGGTAGTTCCATTTAAGACTTTAATTAAAGCCACCTTTAAACCTATACAACACTGATTAAAGATCGAGATTAACCATCGTCATTTCCAGATGAGTAAGCTTATCTAATTAATAAGACTTCAAATGATTGGGGCATGAAAAAGAATATGAAATGTAAACCACAGAATGTTTACAAACAAAAACCATGGTTGTTTCAACGTACAGTCTAAAAGAAATTTTGTTCGATTATTATAATTGGAGATGTTAGATGTACCCAAACAGCTGTATAAAAGGTTTTGGTAGTGTCTTTGTGGTCCTTAAAATCGAAAGAACATGAGTTAGGTCTAATAATTTTTGTATTATATCGTATAAAATATTAAAAATTTATGTATTTATATTATATTTTATATAAAAATTATATGTTATAATTTGTATTGATATAAAAATATAAAATAATTTTATAATTTTTGTTTAAATTTAAAATTATTTATTTTTATATTTTTTAATTTTATTATTTTTATATTTTATACATTATATCGTATTTAAAATTATTATAAATAAAAAAAAAAAAAAGACTTTGAGAGAAAAAATTACCTAGACGGACCCAAAATCATTCAGCGCAATCAATAAGAGGCCCGATCTTGGATGGCTGCATGACCAGGGAAACCCATGGCTCGGTTGGGTTTGATGAACCTGACCCATTCCAAATTATTGCCTAATTACGTCATTGCATGAGCTTGGTTTCTTTGACAAGAGAGTTTTGTTTAAGGATTCTCCTTCGGTCATGAATGTAAATTTTGCCCTTCGTATTTGTTTGTGCAATTATTGATTCAACTATTGATCTAGTACAAAGTACTCAAATTGTAATAGATTTTTTTTACATTTAGAAAATAAATTGTTTTTATGATCAATTTTTTTTTTCAAAAAAAATAATAATTTAATGGTAAAAAAATAATTACATAAATTAATTGAATTAAATTTATATATAAAATTTACTGTTTTTGTCTGTGAATAGCTAAGAGTTCTAGTGATTAAGATAAACACTAACCATCTCAAAATTCTGCAATAAATCATCCCATACATATTTTTGAACTACATAATTTAATAGAGATAAATTTTTTTGGGTATGTAGGGATAAGTATTAGAATAAGTTAAAAGTTAATCTTATCTCATAATTCATTCTTGAAGTGATTAATCAATGCAATTGAGATAAAATTTATATTGATTAAAATAATAAAAAAAACTCTTCAATTTTATCATTTTATTTAGATAAGTCATTTTAATTTTATTATATTCGAATAAGTTTATAAATTTTAATTTACAGTCCAATAAGTTTTTAAACTTTAATTTATATCTAAATAAATTCTTAACATAAATTAATATTTTATTTGAAATAAGGGCATATTTAAATAATATAAATAAAAAATAAAATCTTATTTAGATACAATAAAAATATAAATATTTATTTAAATAAAATGATAAAATTCATAGAATTTTTTAATATTTTAACCATTCATATTAGATATTGTTTTATATATAAGTTCAAGGCCCAAAATATTTGCTCTTAAATTTTTTTTGGCTCAATTCCATTTATATATTGTAGCAGCACATGTTTAAGAACTAGTGCTTTTAAATCGAGATGATTGGGTTTACTCCAACTAGATTTTATATTGGTTTTATTAAACAATTTATTTGGTTAATTAGTTTTTTATATTAAATGTACTTATTATAACAAAATACACTAATAATAGAGTTTTTTAATTTCAAAAATAAGATTAAGATGTGGATACATATATTTTAGTGTATATTTAAAAAATAAAAAGCTAATTTAAAAAGAAATGAGATGTATATCATCTTTTAATGTTGCTTGTGAAATTAAAAAAATTTTACTATCAATGAATTTGATAAATTTTTTTTATCTTGTATATTTTTTTATACAAAAGAGATTTTAACTTGAAAATAGGTAAAGAGATTGTAGATATTGAATTTTAAATCACAAACATATTAAATGTTATATTTTAAAAATAATTGTATGAATTAATTTGATCAAAACTTGGGTTTTTTTGATAAATTTTAATAGTAATTCAAATACCATACACCATTGAAAGAAATAAGAGACGAGTTTAGTCCAAATGCCAAAGCCTTGAAAGCATGTTTTCCACTAGGATTTGAAGTTAAATCTTGAAAGCAAATTTCAAATCCCCCCTTACAAAACATTTTGTGATAAAAAGTGTTGACATTGGACTATAAAGTCATTATTCTTCTGCTATTTTGCCAGCATCACCGGTGAATCTGAAAAGATATGATTTCGGAAGAAAAAATGTCGAGAAATTTGTTTGTTTTCAACTTTAAATATCTGTAAAGGAATCAGGTCCATCCATTGAAGAAATTTTGTTTCTATCAGATCATGTCATAGCCGATTAGACAATATTCTTAGACCAACATATTGCTAGTCCAGCAAAAGAACAAGAAAATTTTCACTGATATTTTCATGATTAATGCTCTAAACTGAACCAAAAATCTCTTTATTTCATTTCCAATTTTCATTCGGTGATTCGACTTATTGTACACAAGTGACAAATTGGGCATAGCGGGAGAGTGAAGTCAGAATCATGGTCATGCATATTTCTGACATGACTTTGAAAACTTGAAGAGCTTACCTGTGATTCAAGCCGTACAGGATTGATGTTTCTGTGAAATTAAAGACAAATTACTTGCATCTTAAAACTTCCATGAGCTTTTTTCCACAAAGAATTGTTATCTCTTTTGACCAAGGGCCTTGCCAACCCTTGGCTGTTTTCCTTTATCTCGCAATAATTCTATTTGTTGTCTCTTTGTCTCTTTTGTTTATGGCTTCCTCTGGCTGAGATAGACCACTCATTTCTGCTCCATCTTTATCATTATTAAACCATTAAAATCCAAAATGATCATTAATTTAACAGGGAAAACACTGTTTTTTTTCACTCCAGGGGAAGGTGTTTGTAAGTGTCAATATTGGTGTGCCCAGTTGGGTTGTTAAGATCTTTAAATTTTGTCCTCTGGTAGTATCAGATCTTCATGTTAGGGGCAACTCAAACAGCTGATAGTAATGGTAGATGTGCTGTAGTCCTATCCTGTGGACAAAGAATAAAAAAAAAAAAAAAACTTGACTACTTAGAATTAAAATCAATCTTCTCAAATCACACTTTTCATTATCAAAATATGCCTGTCTTCTGTAGAAAGTGCACTTAATCAACGGAAAGTATGCTTTTAACAATAAAAACAAAGAAAATGATCAAGTGCTTTCAACTTTTCTTATTCTTTTTAATCTCCATACTTCAAGGTGTCGACTAGCTTAATGAATAAAGATCTCAGGTGACCCTTTGAAGAACTTAGAATCTACAAGATTGTGATGATTAATGGGAAGAACGAGGGCTACCACATTTTGGTATCCTAAACACTGAGAAAAAAAAAAAAACAGAATCTTAACTCCAAATGCTTGCATTACTGTATAGCCTTAGAAGTAAATCATTCAATCATGAATTTAATCGCCAACTTATTATTAGCAGAAAAGCACTGTTGAATCTTCAATGCTTTTTGGGTTGCTGCCGTTCAGCTAATTTCTTTACCAACGTAACCTAGCCGCCTCAGTTAAGAGGTTGGTAAGCACAAAAAATAATGGCCGCAGAACCTTTGGTTTATTGTTGTTAAGCAATAACTCCAGGTCTAGCGACCGTTTCTTTTAGTACTACTATTTCTCAGTAGATTTGAACAAATGCAACTTTATAAGATGGTGGACATTGATAAATTTCTGGGAATGCAGATCAGGAGCTGAACCAAGAACAACGATTGAACTTTTCTACTGATCTCCTTGGCATGAAAAAGTTTTTTCTTGTTTGGACATAAGGAAAATATTTGGTTCTCTTAAATCCTAAGTCTTGTGTAAGGAAATCAGCTTGAAACCCTTGTTTATTTCAGCAGCAAAGCGTTTTTGGTGCTTCAATCATGTTGCAAATTTGCATGGGGTTGCTTTGAGTCTGCACATGTGCATGAAGGAAGAAATCATACCACACGAGTGGAAAAACACATGGCAATCTAATCAAACCTTTGACTGGTCATGGAAACCCACAATTGGACATAGAATAGCTTTTAAATACAGCCCCCCTGCATCATTAGAGTTACAGTTAGCGGGCTTAGAAAGAAAAATCTCTAAGGGTAATTCATCTTTCCAACAAAATAGCAGACAAATTTTGAAATAATTATGTGCCCTTGAATCATTATAAACTATAAAAGCACCTACATTTCTCACACAACACAGGAGGGAATCCATCACCCTCGGACCCTTCTTTTCTCTCTTTGAATTATGGGAAGGAATGTCTCCCATTTTCTTTAGAGAAAGCTGATATCGGTATTTGGCAATGATGTTGTTATGGATATAGAGAACCACAGGATGTTTGAGATCAGAGGTATTGTGGTCAAAGGCCCAGAGTTGAAGACCTGCTTTGCATTATTACTACACATACTGAGCTGTTTCTGTACTTAAGGGGTCATCCCCCCATATTGCAAAAATCATTTCATAGACTTCAATCATAATGTCTTTTAAAGCTTTCCCACTATCAATTTTTTTTTCAAGATCTTCATAGGAGAGGTTAAAAAGGATGAGTTTAAACTTTGTTCTTCTTCACAACGTGTCCCACATAGACCTCCATTAACTCCCCAATTTTCTCCACTAAAGAAAAACTCATAAAAGGCCAAACTTTTTTTTTTTTCTTGTGATTTTTTTCCATGCAAAAAAAAAAAAGAAAAGAAAACATTTTGCTACTATACCAAAACGTCTAATCTATGCGTCTGTCCACGCAGCAAAAACTGACATGTGAGGCATGGAGAGTGCAGGCCTCAGCTGAGCTGAAGGAATCCAAGAATTCACAGCATTTGCTGAACTAGTGAACAACTTGGTTGCTGGAGGAGGCATGGCAAACGACATTGGCAGGCTGCTTCTATCTGGGATAACTTCCCTTGAGCTGCTCAAACGAGTGACCGATGAAGAAGCATTCGACAAGTAAGTCCCCATCTTGCTTGAATCATCCGCCTCTCTCTGGCCCGAGCTGATTGTGTCAATCCCAGCCACGTTTTGTGGGGCTAGCGAGAAAGTCTGAGTCTTATAGTTCTCGGTAATATTTGGCTCTTTCTGCTCAAGTTGCTGTTCAGAGGACTGATAAAGGACCATTTTCCAGTCTGGTTGACCTTCATTGTTCTTTGATGAAATATTGGATTCACCATTGCTGTTATCAGTTAAAAGGTTATGATTGATAGCTTCATCATTACCGGTTCCTATATCTTTGTTTCGCCGAGCCAGTTCTCCGGCAAGAAGGGTATTGCTTGCCATGATTCTTTCCACATCGTACCTTGTTATGTCAAAGTTAGTCACAGCATTCACCCCACGGAATTTGATAGCCGCTATGTCATAAGCCTCAGCTGCTTCCTCCTGAGTGCCTGAAAATTGATTTCATAAAGCTTGAATTTTACATTCAATTTTCTTTTTGTGGGTGTTTGTGGACAAACAGCCTTACAGAAGCTGTTGTTTCTTTTTCACTTTGCTTTCGTTTTTCTTTTCTTTTGGGAAAAGCTCAGCCTTATGGAAGCATGACCAGTGGCTGGAAAAGAGCCGAAAGAGCTAAGAATAACTCAAAGATTGGCCTTTCTAAAGTCAATAAAAACATGCTCTAAACTCTAATTCAATGCCGACATGATTAAATAAAATAAAATAGTAAAACAAATACCCAAATAAACTCACTAAATGTTCCAAGATAAAGGTCCTTGTTCCCTGCAACTCTGCCTATCCGAGCCTGCCATCTTCCATGTTGATGATGTCTGCTTAAAATTTCAATAAAAAAAAAATTGAGAAACAAGAGCTGAAGTGATGGCGAGTTGTAGTACAACTTCCGAAATTGAAGTAGGATAACAAGACCTTGTCACTCCTCTGTACATTGATGCTCCCCTTGAAAATCCACTGCTTTTCCTGCATAATAGTAGATTTTAATCATTGACAAAATTATCCCAAATTATAGTGATGCATGCACCAAAATGGAAAGAGAAGGGGCAAACATTTTACCTTCTCAAGTGAGCAACATACTCCTGTCTAGTCATGTTCTTCATTTCTTCAAGTTCCTTTTGGTAATCTTCCAACTGCAAAAAACACATCATAATTACAATTCAGTACAAAAAAACTGAAAAAGGTTCCTGGAACCATAAGATTTGAAAATGTAATGAGAATTAAATAATTACAGGAAAATTGATGTGAGTGGAGGGTCCCCAATACTTGAGTGCAGCTAGATCGTAAGCTCTTGCGGCTTTCTCTTCCATGTCATAACCCCCTAAAATTAAGATTTGGAATTTACTTGTTATTTAGAACATGACAAGATCATTCATAATATACTTGATTAGTATTAATAATGGCAGAAGTGCTGACCTAAATAAACTGAGAATCATCATTTCATTGTAATCATCCCCATTCATGATAAGAAAAAGATACATTAGTAGGATATAAAAAACAGTCAGATTAAGAACAAAAAAGTACCAAAAATAGAGGTTATATTATTGCAGGAGGTTCTCTTTTCAACACTAACCTTGTCTTCCTTTCCTGCTCTGCCCTTCTTTCTTGCAACTGTTGTCCCACAGATGCGCTTCATATCTTCCCGTCCATCTATGTCTGAGTAATAGAAACCAGAAAATAAATAAAAATAAAAAAAGCATTATAACCAGAAAGAGAAATGCTTAAAAAAATTAATAAAAAAGTAAGCTAAAATCAAGACACAGAGAAATAGAATGCAAGAAAGAGCCAGACAAAAACTTTAATTTGTAAAGAAAGGAAATCTTTTTAGTTAAAATATAAGGACTAATTAAAGACAAACTAGTTTTCAGGAAAGCAGATAAGACAGAAAAATATTAAACAGGATTAAAGGATACAGAAAAACACTAACCTTGTAACACCTCTATATTGTGAGGTTCTCTGCCCAAAAGTATCAATGGATTTCCTGTGGACAATTTGCTTCTGATCTACCTTCTCAGGCCCTCTTTTCTTGGTTTCCATAGCTGCATAGTCAGTTGCAGAAGGTGAGATTTGCTGTGAACCAGTAACACAGCTTGATTGTGAGCCAGGACTCATGGACAAGCTCAAAGACTGTAAATCACCATAGGCCATTGCACCAATAGAGCCAGATTCAGCTCCATTATCACCCATGCAGCCAATCATCTTCTGATTCATTGCATGTTCAGTTGAGTAGTTTCTTGAAACCCAGTGCTTCACGCCAGGTGCCCTATCATCAGCCATTGGTGGGAGCTGAAGATTACAATCAGTAACATGGGTTTCTTTGGCTTCTTCTCCTAGTAACATTTCGTGGTTACTATATCCTGAGTAATATTGGTATTGTTGGACCGGAAGCTGCTGTTGGTGCTGCTGCCTTGAAGAGTGTTGCAGGTGGTCTAGGCAATTTTGATTGTTGTGTTCCTGATCCGGATTTTGATGGTAATACATGCTGTCTAAACTAAGAGACATGGCTTCTCTGTCACTGCTTTCATAGTGATGGGTCCCCATGGCTGCACCCCCAAAGAAATCCTCCAGTTTTGGAGTTGAAGTAGGAACCATTGCTTCACACGAAAAGTCAAAGACAGAAAAGTCCAGAAGTTTAAGAAAACAACTATTTTCCCCAAAGCACAAAACAAACTCCAAAATAAAAGAATATACAAGTAGAAATATTGAGCCTAACCTGGTGGCTGTGACCTGCCAAGAGCTTCCATTAAACAAAGAGACCCATCAGACTTAAGTGGCATCACAGGAAAGTGAGAATACAAGCCGCCATTTTGTCCTTCAACTCCATAATAAAGTCCATAATTAAGATGAGATGGGGATTGGAAAAAGCTTGATGGTACCGCTGTAGTAACGCCACTACCACCACCAGCAGCAACAGCATCAGAAGCAGATTGTGTCTGGTGATGAGGGTCTTGATTGCTAACCTCCATTTTCATGAGAGGAGAGAGAGAAAAACCTAACCAGTTAGTAGTATTGTTACTGTTGTTGTTATCATCATTACTCATGGACTTCATCTTCGAACTATGCTGCTTCTTTCCGACCTAGCAAAGGTTCTAGACAAGTTTCTCTTAGCGCAGGGCAACTCAATCATTGGGAAACAAAAAAAACTAATCATGAACCAACCATCTCCTTGCTTCACTCCATTTTGAAAAGAAAAAGAAGAAAAAAAAAACACTGGGTATTTTTGTTTTGTAGCTGCAGAAGTGACTGGACCAAATCTAAAATCTCATGATCTAAAACAAAAATCCAAAACTCCTGCAACTGAATCTACCCTACATCTACATGCATGAATCTCTCTCACACTGAAAAGAATTCTAAATAGAAACAAAGCAAGTTCCTTTAAACTAAACAAAAAGAATGAGTTCCAGCAAGCTATGCTGGGCATCCTTCCTGCATTCCATAGGGATCTGTGATTGAGAAAGACCTCTTCTTTTGCTTTACCCTACGCTCCTTGCATTTCCTTTTTCTTTTTTCTCTCTTTTCCTTTTAATACCCTCCCCAAACACACTAAAAATTCAAAGATTCATTCATTTAAAAAGATTAAACAAGACTAACCCCCCAGCCCCAACCAGAAGCTGCTGAACCCAAAGACAATATACTAGTAGCAGTAGTACTACTTACAAGTTACAGCCCCAGGAACCTTAATTTCTCATGTGGATATCAGTGTTTCGTCCTCGATACCTGCCAAAATATCCACTGGTTATAAACAAGTTCTCTTTTCATCCTTGCCTGTTTAATTTCAACTTAAATTCTGGCAGGGATTGGGACGTAAGCCTGTAATAGAATGCTCTTTTATAAGTCATCTAGGCGAGGGTTCAATCCCCGCCATGCCCCTCCGTTTGTACGGACACTAATCCCCTTTGAAACCAAAAAAAAAAAACAAAACAAAAATTAAAAAATGATATATTAGGTACTATTTATCTTTTTTTTTGTCAGATGCATGTACTAAGTTGCTTTAATTACTGTTACAAACCAATTAAACAATAATTTAGTAATAATCATTTTTGCATTTTTCCTGTGTAAACAGTCTCATTATCAAAATTTAAAAAACTTTTAACAACAATATTCTATTTTTTTTTTCAATTTCAGGTAGCTTTATAGAAATAAAAAATTTCAATATAACTTTTAGAGTAGGGAATTTTTTTTATCATAATTAAAAAAATGCTGCAAGATGAGACAAGAAAATATTACTCTCTCCAGTCTCCTCTCATTTCAAGTCTTCACTTTTATTTTTGGATGTTCCAAAATAAAATCTTTTTTCATTTTTAAATATCTGAAATACTTAAAATGAGACTATGAAAGTACATAATAAGTTATACATAACATCCAAACAATAAGAGAAAATATTGATAGCAATTTTTTTAAGATGCATGTAATATTTCTTCTGTGTTTACAAACTTGAAATTTGTCACAGTAAAATTAAAATTTTCAACAGGAAAAAAGTAATGGTGTCTCCTAAAGGACTAGTCTTTTTACATCATTTTACAACTAATGTAAGAAGTATGTCAACCAGGCTATAAACAAGAAAAATGAATGAGGCGGGTAGAATAAATGAGTATTCAAAGAAAAAAAACCAGTAAAATCAACTTGGGATGCATAATTAGTGGGGTATTTGAGGCTGTAGCTGCAGCACATTAATATTATACCATATTGTGGTGGCATATAATAATAATAGTAAATGAAATGGAAAAATAATGTATAGCTTTGGCTTTAATTGTAGTAGCAGGCTTTGGATGAGAGCAAAGGGTTTTATCGCAACCTGAAACCAGAAAGACGGTACTGTCTAATCTCTGCTCACCTATCACCATACAACGCCTTTGCTGGGCCTACGATAGATTTGGCAATTTTTTTTTAAAAAAAAGCAGGCATTGGGATATAAATAATATTAATTAAATTTAAAAATCCTCATAAAATATTTTTTAATATTTTTTTATTAATACTTTAAAATTTTAAAAAATTATCTAATCTGAAAATCAATTCAAATAATTCATCTAATTATTATTAAAAATAATATTTTATAAATTTATAATTTTATTTTTAATATTTATAATATTTTTATTTATTATTTTTTATTTAAGGCTCTTTATATTTGATAATCACTTTAAATCGTCTTTATTCAAAAATTAAATCAAATTAAATTTCATAAAAAAAACTCTCATAGCATCTATTTTTTATTTATAAGACTTAAAATTAAAATTTTATTTTAAAAAAATCGAATTTTTTATTATTCAAATTAACAGATTTTGATATATTATTTATTTATATATATATATATATATATTTCTTTTATGAAAAAAAGGAAGCATCTACCAGTTTCTTGACCTTGTTTGTTTCCGTAGAAATGCCACGGCGAATGCTTGGCAAAGTCACAATTTTAGCTGGCTTAATTTTGGCTTGTCCTTTTGCATGTTTTCTCACTGGTAAATAGTAAGCTCTGATGGGTGTACTCTTAGGATGTTTATTCGATCGATTTAATTAATTTTAAATTAATTAATTAATTAAATTAAATTAAATTAAATTAATATATTTTAAAAATTAATTAATCAAATTTAATTAAATTAATTAAATTAATTTTTTGATTAATTGAATAATAAATATATTTAAAATGTTAAGTTTTCATATTTTAAATAGACTAAATAAAATTATTTAATAAAATATTTAAATATCAAAATATTATATTAATAACCCTAACAATTTATAAAATTATATAATTCATTATTTTTTATTTATATTTAAATTATATTATATTTAAGTTAATTCGACTTAAAAATCAAATTAATCAAAAAATAAATTTTTTAAAAATTATTTTCATTAATTAATTAAAATTAATTTGATAATTAATTAATTAATTTAATCAATTAATTCAAATAAAATAAAAAAATAAACACCGCTAGACCCTGCCATAACGAGGATGTTTATATGCATATCGAACAGAGGAGAAACATACATGACATCACTTAGAAATGCTAATAATTTGATTCGATACAAATGCTAAATATAGCATACATGACATCATTTAGAACCCAATAATTTTTTTTTTTTTGGATGCCGGAAAGAAAAACGAAGGAAGAGAGTTTGAAATATCAACCCCTACCTTGTCTTGCCTGCCTCTTTCTCTTTATTGGATAGTTTTAAATATCAACCTTATGCATGTGTCATATCAAACATGAGCATAACGAATTAATGCATGCACTTTAGATGTGGAATCTTTAAAATAAATAAAAGAAAATATAATGAATATAATAGCAAAGAAAAGAAAGCTAGGTATTTATTAGAAACAGCAGAAAATGCTGCATTAACTTTGCTTTATGATCAAAATTGACTAAAGAGAAGTATGGCCCAATGGGATTTATTCTGGTACATCAATGTCCAATTCCATATCGAACTATTAGCATTATTGATGTGCCAGATACAGTATAATATCTTTTATTTTTTGCTTTATCTATGGCTTTCTTTAGTCAACACTTGCCTTCCGGACAAAAAAGTGAAGAGGGTGGGTCACTGTGATAAACGTGGAGGGAAGCTAGCTACAGCTATTGCTGAGCTAAACGAGAATTTAAGAGTCTAGCTATGTAATTAAAGAATTAAGGAAAAAAATGAGAAAAAATAAATAAAAACAAGAGGGTAACATACATCCAAACTTCTTAATGACTAAAATTCAGATTCTACCATCTCAAATTAAAAAATTATTAAGGAAATTCACTTCTGATTTCAACACGAAAAAAATTTGTTAATACAAAATTAAGAGCTAGGTGGAAATTGAGAGCAATGGCATCGGCTATTGGCAAAACTTTGTGTCAAAGATATTCCTGAAATGATGACGGAAGGGGCCCTTAAAAGAACATGCTTTTTGTGGGATGAACACTTTATATCCGATTGTCTCAATAAAGCCTTTTAACACTCGAAGAATATTTGCTAACCCAAGTTTGGCTGTTTAAACCCCTTTTTTTTTTTTTTAAGTTGAAAGACTTCCCTTGGCCATTGGCATGCCTTCTTTTGTCTTTAATTGCTGCATTAAATGCAACCGTCATTCAACTTTTTTGAAGGGAAAACATTTCTGTCTGTGAAACTCTGCATATTTCTTTAAAAAGGGTATAGAAATGTATTTTTGCATGCACCATATGTGTTGGCATGAAAAAATTTCATGGCATAGTCATGTATTTTTGCATGCAAAATTTGCATGACTATAGCCAAACTCTTGGAGACAGAATTTCCAGAGAGAATGATTTTGTTTGAAAAGAGAGTGGGGAAGAGTTTTTGAGAGGGTGACAGAGGAGTTTGAAGGGAGTACCATCTTTTTTGATTGTAGCAATGATGAGAAAATCCACCAAAACAAAGCAATTGAGACCAATAAGTTTTACTAGAAATAGTGCATGGACTATCAAAGAAAGCTTTGTGTTGCTGCAATCAGCAGATTTTGCTCTCCTTTCATTGTCACAACAAGTCATGACCCTTTTGGTGGGAAGCAGATGGGGAAGGGCTTGGTTTTGTGGTGCTTTATTTGCTCTTCATTGTCTGCTTCTATTGGACTTGTCATTAACCTTTTTATTAGGAACTTGGTTTATTACCTCTCTAATCTCCTTGGAGCCATTGTACCTTCTCAGTTGGAGACAGGGACACCTAACTTTTGTAATTAATTAACCCTAACTTTACACTTAGTTGTACTATTAATAGTTTAATCCCATAATTAAGAAAATTCCTTCTATGTTTAAAATAAACAGTACTCAAATTTCAAAAATCGTTGTTGCATGTGGATCCAAGCCATTACACAAATGCTAATTTCATTGATACTAGTCAAACGTAAATATTTTTTATACAAAAAAAAACATAATTTAAGAATAAAGAGAAAGAATTGTAAATGTTGATATTTTAATTTGAACTTTTAACTTAATGCTTTGCAAAATTTGAAATAAATTGAGTAAAAGAAATTAGGTTTTTTAGACCAAAAACAAGTTTAGGTACTTTTCTGCTATTCCATAAATACTAGTAATTAACAAGCACAACAATTCCTACTTGTAATGATCTGCTAATCTACTCACTAGTTATTAACTGGATTAGCTGATATATCGATCATTTGTAATTCCTTGACGCTCTTGTTTAGGTTGAAACGAGTACTAAAAAGCAGAACTCTAAACCAAAGTGAAGACCTTGAAAGCACAGCAAACAAACCAGTTGTCACGGACTAGGCTTTCTCTCAACAAGTAATAGCCCGTGCGATACTTGAATGAACATTTCCATCCAAGTCAGCCCTCAATGGTTTAATACTGAACAAATAATCATAAGCCACAGTTAGTCCTTAGCATACGCAATAAGGCACATTCATATCGAGATCAATCTCAAGCACACACAAGAAAGCACATTCACATCGACAAAAAGAAAAACACATCAAGACAATAATCGAGACATTAGAACCGAAGGTGAATTTCATTAAAATCGAGGATATTACATCGGGACTTCCCATCATCGCCAGAGTCAGGGGCATCCCTTAGCGGATGGCCTAGGCCTGTATCGCAATCGGTGAGACAGCCCAACTGTACGCTGCCCGCTCATCCCCCTAAAGAGCCTTAGAGATTTTAGAATTATGCTACCACTAACTATTACAATGTTTGAAATAAGGACACTTTTTCTAGCACAAGAGATCTATCCGGTCACAGCCCTATACATGGGTGGCTCTTGACAACCTAAGCCCCGGTCATGACCCTATACAAGGTTGGCTCATGATATTTTCTCTCACCTATTCTATCGACGT